ATTTTTTTTCTTTCACAAACTGCTGTGCAACTAACGGGAAGCATTCTCAGCACATTCCATAAACTTGTTTATAATTTATTAAAAAACGTTAAATACAATCATATGTAATATAATAATTAATATAAAATTATAATAACGTTTTTTGTAATGCTCTGATAAAATTTATTACATAAAATTAATATATATATATATATATATATATATATATATATATATATATATATATATATATATATATATATATATATATATATATATATATATATATATATATATATATATATATATATATATATATATATATATATGTATATAAATGCCCCCAAAAACATAAAAAAAATAAACTTTTATAACTAAATTGTGACATCAAGGGAACATTTAGAACTTAACATGTTTGGTGGTTCTGGAATTTATTTATGTATTCACTTATTTACTTATATTTCTGCACTCTACTTAATTATCCTTAAAGCATTAGCTTTACATTTAAAAAAAAAAAAAAAAAAAAAAAAAAAAAAAAAAAACTTTACTTGGCAGCCATTGTAAAAAGCCGAGCACAAGGGGCACACTTAATGGTCCACTGGCAGCAGTTTGTCAACCATACAGTGAACAGAGTCAGTGAGTCAAGGCTGCTGATTTATGATCCTCCCTATGACCTGCATCAAACACAGAGATCAGGGTAAACGCATTGCCCTGCCGCCACAAGCCCATTACTCTGACCCGAAATCCATCCATCTTCCAGAACAGCAGATCCCCTCCTTCGCCAACCCACAGTAACTTCATCCAACACTCAATAAGTGATGCCAACTCTCACAAGATGAAAACTCAACCGAACAAGACCAATATTATTAATTATACTATGTGGCAGCTGATTGTATGATTCTGATTTGCTTGAACATTCAGAGGTGGGCAACTATTTTTAGGGATCTGTGGCTAAAGTTGTTTCATTACAGGTTCATCTCACTACGCTGAATTATTTCAGCTATTTCACAGCTTACAACTGTCAAATATCAAATAAGATTAAACTGAAGCTGTCTAAGGACAAAAACCTGACAAATAAAACTAAAATAAACTTGCGTGGTAACTGTACTACCTGACAAAAGTCTTGTTATCGATCCCAGTTATAAGAGCAACAAATAATAACTCGACTTAGTTGATTATTTGGAAAAGTTGCAGAAGGTAGATTTTTTTCAAATGAATCATCTGTTAAACTGAATTCCATTCATCACAAATATTGCAGAAGACCTATAGGAACCCGCATGGAACCAAGATGCTCAAAGAAATCAGTCCAGTTTGGTGAAGGAAAAAATCATGATTTGGGGCTACATTTAGTATGGGGGCATGCAAGTATCAACACATTTGTGGTGCCCATTTCATTAAAACCCACAGGAGAGGGCAAGTTCTTGAGCAGGATAGCACTCTCTCTAGAGCTGTAGTTACAGTAGATGCGTAGTTTCTGGTTGTGTTCTGTTCCCCGTTATCCCCCATATGCCCTATTCATTAAGAACGTTCTAACATTTAAACATTAAGGTCAACTTTCTTAGCTGTAAATTGCTTTCAAAGTATTTTTACAGTTCAGTTTTAGCGGTCCTCAAATTGACAATTGCGTTCCCTTCGTAGTCCACTTTGAAACATTTATGCCATTTTAAACACAGCCGTGGCTCATGATTATAATAATAGGTGACCTATTATTTCCAAAGCTTGTAAAAAAAGTATATAGCATACGTTAATGTTTTTAATTAATAGTAGGTTACTTATTAAGACATGTATCTGTACTGAATATGACATGGGCCTGTTGGTTAGAACATTTCTGCAGGGGTTTGAAAATCTAACTTTGAATGTGTCAAATTGTAAAAGTAGACTTAAAAATAAATAAATTAATTAATTAATAAATAAATAAATAAATAAATAAACTTAATAATGATAATAATAATGATAATAATAATGGGTGACACAGTGGCACAGTAGGTAGTGCTGTCACCTCACAGCAAGAAGGTCACTGGTTCGAACCTCGGCCGGGTGAGTTGGGTTTTCTGTGTGAAGTTTGCATGTTCTCCGTGTGTTTACGTGGGTTTCCTCCAGGTGCTACAGTCTATATATATGAATTAGGTAAGCTAAATTGTCGTATTGTATGTGTGTTAATGAGTGTGTATAGATGTTTCCCAGAGATGGGTATCAGCTGGAAGGGCATCCACTGCGTAAAAACATGCTGGACAAGTTGGTGGTTCATTCCGCTGTGGCGACCCCGAATTATTAAGAGCCGAAAAAATAAATAAATAATATATAATAATATATATAATATATATAATAATAAATAATGATAATAATGATATAATATAATAATTAAGTACGATTTTTAATTTCTTAATAAACTGTAAATTAGGCCTACAACCATTAAAGATTTATATGATTTATACATAGCTTTAAGATTAGAATATGTTTTAGCTAAGTGATTTTATATGGAATATTCTCAATAATATTTGTAAAGGAAAGATAAATAGGTCCTATATGTGTCGTTTACATTATAGCCTATATTTCAATTAATATATATAATAGTGTTTTTATCAAAACTAATATTGGAATCCATGTCTATTTGCATCTTGAATGGGCTATTTTTGAGTAAAAAAATAATAGTAAAATTGACTACAAATGCAAAAAAAAAAAAAAAAACACACCCAAAAATCTACCAATAACTGTGCTATCATTTGCTCACTCTCCACTTGTTCCAAACCTGTTTGAGTTTATTTTGTCTGTTCAATACAACCCTTTGTGATATACTAAAAAATGTTCAAAACTGGTAACTGTTGACTTTCATATTTTTTTTTTTTTTGTTGTTTATTTGTCTTTGCTTTACCTACAAGACATCTTTTTTGTGTTCAATAGAAAAATAAGGAACTCATAAAGCTTTAGAACCACCTGGTAGTAAATCTATAGTGTTATCTTTTTTCTTTCATTTGAATTAACCCTTAAACAAAAAAAGAAGTCAAAAGTTTTATATTATAAGTGGACTTGGCAACTCTGCACTCTACCCAAAAAAAAACTGGGCTGGCACAAGGAACGCCTCTCTCACTCTATTTACAAACACAGCTGCTGCCATGGGACTCCTGATGAGGGCGTAACAGAGTCAAGCAGACAGCACCAAAACATGCATATAAATCCAGAGCTTAGCGACTCAAGAATCTGTATGGAGACACGCAAATAACATTTTATAAAAGTTAAAATCCTGACTTCAATCCTGATCCTAATAGGTTCTATTTGCTATTCAGTCCAGCTGCTTGAGCATACAGACACATGCCAACATTCTGGGCATACTGTGGGGCCCTACTCACACTAGTACACACCATAAACAGTCACACATTGGGACGTAATCCATGTGTGCCACTGAAGGGGAGCATTCAAAATGGCGGATGAAGCTGGCCTTGCTGTAAGTCTGAGTGTTGTATAGACAGACTTATATGTGTAGTAATTGGTTAGTTTGCATAGGGTACCAACATATTTTCGAAGTTTAGGTTAAATGTTTAGGTTGTAAGTATATTTCAAGTGTAACTGTAATTACTATGAGTAAAATGTATCTGTATGTGTATGACTTAATAATTAAATATGTATGTTTATGACTTATATTAAATAAAATAAATAAATAAATAAATAAAATAAATAACATTTAAATAATGTTATTTAAAACAACAAATAAAGTTATTGATTTATTGAGTTACATATTTTGATACAATATGTTATTAAGGTATTTAAGATTTTCCATTACACTTAACAGTACTACAAACCCAGTAAGTCTGTAACAGAATAGTTAAGTGAGCTCTTAAAAATGCTAAATCAAAACTTTGGGAACATTACTACTTTTCTGATATTATAATTCAAACATTCACTTCTGAGTTATTTTATTATTAATCATTTTTGATAATAAAGTATAAAGTATATACAGTTGAAGTCAAAATTATTAGCCCCCCCCCTTTTTTTTTTTTTTTTTTTAATATTTCCCAAATGATGTTTAACAGAGCAATGACATTTTTACAGTATGTCTGATAATATTCTTTCTTCTGGAGAAAGTCTTTTTTGTTTTATTGCAGCTAGAATAAAATCAGTTATTAATTTTTTTAAAAACATTTTTGGAACATAATTATTAGCCCCTTTAAGCTATTTTTTTTTCGATAGTCTACAGAACAAACCATCATTATACAATAACTTGCCTAATTACCCTAACCTGCCTAGTTCACCTTATTAACCTAGTTAAGCCTTTAATTGTCACTTTAAGCTATATAGAAGTGTCTTGAAAAAATATCAAGTAAAATATTTTTTACTGTCTTCATGACAAAGATAAAATAAATCTGTTATTAGAAATAGGTTTTTAAAACTATTATGCTTAGAAGTGTGCTTTAAACAGAAATTGGGAAAAAATAAAAGGGCGCTAATAATACTGACTTCAACTGATATATATATATATATATATATATATATATATATATATATATATATATATATATATATATATATATATATATATATATATATATATATATATATATATATATATATATATATATATATATATATATATTGTCATCTTGGAATTATAAGGTTCTATCTGCATTCTGAATAATTTTGAGTTATTGAGCTTTAAAGTTTTATTATTCCATATAGCAAACGTGTGTAACATTTATTTTTTATTTTTTAAACAATAAGTGAGTCAATGAGCAAATAACTCTCTTTATATCTCTTTTATATATAAAGTTGTCACACACACACACATACACACACACACACACACACACACACACATATATATAAGTAAGCTGAACATAAAATCAAACTGAAAGCATACTTTCTCAATACAGTGTAAATAAATATTAATTTACAGTGTAAATAAATATTAATAAATTAATAAATAAATAAACAATTACATACACAATGTAAACAAACATACTTTTTTCTTCTTGTTGTTGTTGTTGTAAGGGCAAACCATTTAAAGTGAGGAGTAGTAAAGTATGGGAGGGAAAAGAGAAAAGTTTGACGTAGTGACGCTTCAGGGCGGTGTTCTCACGTTTCTGAAAAAAAGAAAGGAAGAAAAAAAGCAAATACTGCTGTGGTACTACATCTGGAATACGGAGACGCGTGCTTTGAGAATCTATAGTGGGATACCATAGAAAAGGCGACTTGTGTTTTCTTCCTGCTCTCTTGCATTTCAAGGATTTTTCTTCTCTTTCTCTCTCTCTTACCTGTAAGTTGGAGAACCATAGAAGTTTTCTATTTTTACTTTGGTCCTTTTTGAATGAACATTTGCATGCCATTTCAGGAGATTCTCAACCACATTTGTGTTTAGTAGTATATTCCAAGGCTATACTTTGGCAAGTTGCACAAGTTTGTTATTCAAAGTATATTTTCATCCTCACACGGTTTAAATTATTTTTAAAATAAGTTATAACATTAAGTATTAGTTTTGCATTGCCAGCTTTAGTTTTGTGTGAACACATCTTTCGTCTTCTCTAAAGGCACGGTTGGCGTGCGGAGTTTTGCAATAACTGGTTTGGATGAAAATAAACGCTGCTCGGGAGTGTTTTCTTTTTGACTACTTCAGAAAAATGGGCAAGTTTACACTTCTCAATAACTTTAGTCGTCAAATGCTTGATATTCTCTCAGAATAGGCATTTGTAGCGAGATAGCAAAACCTGTAACATATAAACTAACAGATAAACACTTTGAAGAGACGTGACGGAAAAAAGGCGGCACGCGAGAAAAAAAAGGGATGTGACTGGATTGTATGTGTGTATTTAGTTGCAGTATTGTGTTTTTGTTTTGATTAAATACAGACATTTTAAAAGCCTTAAAAGATTGCAACGGGATTAGTGCTATTATCAAAGCAATGTGTCAAGAATACAGATGTTTTCAATTAAAATGTAGATAAGAAAACAGGCGGCAGTGATAGTGTTTGGGTTGAGATACCTTTGACAAAGGCGCGGTCTTGTGGCCAGATGAGGAACTGCAAGAGTAAACATTGTCCATCACAAAACCCGCCAGGTATGTGCTTTAACTTTTATTACTTACTCTTTCTGTTCTTTTAGAAGAAACCCAAAATGCTGGTCATTCTGTTTGCAACGATAGTCTTGCATTTGACAAGCCTTATCATTCTCTTCATTGCCACTTGTGCCAGCGTGAGTATCATCTTTGACATTGCTATTTGACATTTTTTTTATTGGTTTGTGTGTAGAGGTAATCACTAGGCTGTTCTTTTAAACTCAATAGGCTTGGAGAACACATGGAGATACGAGTTATGACCTCTGGTACGACTGCACACAAATTAACGGAGGATATAAATGCAGTGGAAATGGTGATGCAGGTGAGTAAGATGACTTTAGTATACCAATGTCTTAAATGTTTCGGAAGTTTAATTTTTATTAAAGGAAAAACAGACACCAATGTTAAATAATTTTACAAGCATTCTATGCAATTATATTAGTAGTAATAAAGCATAGATGTAACAAAATTAAAGAATTATGCTTATTTCTGATTAATTTCAGATTGGCTTCAAGCGGTGCAGGCCCTGATGGTCCTCGCCACCATTTTCTGCCTGATTTCCTTCATCATCTTCCTCTGCCAGCTCTTCACTCTCGTAAAGGGAGGTCGCTTCTTCTTCACTGCCGTTTTCCAGATCCTTGCAAGTTAGTATTTCTTCATTTTGTATATTAGTTCATCTTAATTAGCCTATGTGTCTTAATTTTGTCCCTTTATCTCCCAAAGGTCTGTTTGTGATGAGCGGTGCCATCATCTACACGGTGATGAGTCCACAGTGGAAAAATGATAGTGATACTTACGGATATGCTTTCGTCTTGGCCTGGCTGGCCTTCCCTCTTACGCTCATCAGTGGCTTAATTTACATCATCCTGAGGAAGAAAGAATGAGAGTTCAGCCCTCTGGAATTTTATTAGAACTGAAAAACTGACTCTTAAATGGCCGTCTCCTCCAGGCCTAAATATTTAGACCTAATGTGATTAAAGAAGTTGACCATTCATGAAGGTTCGATACAGCAACGACACAGTGAGCATGATGAAAATTAGTGTCTTTGGCTGGTGAGCCTATTTTTATCACATCTACATGGCTTTTTTATTTTTGTTTTTGTAAATATGAAGTGTCAATGAAGGCCCAGATTAAAAAAAAAATACTCATGTAGGAGAGATACAGTATAGGAAAAGTATAAATTGTTTTTGTTTGTTTTGTATTGTGTGTTATAATCATTTTCAATATCTTGTTTTTAATAAAGTGTATTCTCAAAGGGAATTTGTTGATGTTGACTTGAAGTTTTTCTTATAACCTAATTACAGAATTCTTTATATATATACATATATATATATATATATATATATATATATATATATATATATATATTAACCATTGCTGAACTTTATAGATAGATATGCCGGATGTTTTGTCAGTTTTCACAAAAACATTTTATATGCATATTTTACCTGTGAACACTTTATGTTATGTCTTCTGTTTTGTTTAAAAAAAAAAAAAAAAAAAAAGTTTTTTCCCTTTTCTCAATTTTTACTATTTTCAATTTTTACTGTGAATGTTTTTGAAGGGGTGGGTATCGTTTGGTGTCCAACTAGAAATACAACGACGAATAGTCTGAAAAACTAAGCAAGATTAAGGTCAGCGGAGGAGAAAAACAGATGCCACATGGTGATGACTATTCATGCACACTATCTTTGACTCATCTCAAAGCCCAGAGGATAATAAAATGTGAGGGAAAAAAAAGAGTTTAAAAACTTTCTGAAAGTTTATATATATCAGAACTAAAATAACAAGACAAAACTGTCATTCTTTTAAAATAAACGATGTTATTCTTTTAAAGTAAATGGTGAAACAGTGAAACCAGCGATCTTGTAAAAAGTTTAATATTGGACCAAGTGTGTCCATCAGTAGTTTAATCAGAGGCGGACTGGGACTTTAAATCAGCCCTGGCACTGTAGCCACACCAGCCCACATTACTACACTGACACAGCTCCATCCATGGACACGAACATTCACTACTTATATTGGTGTACAGATAGTAAAATAAAATAAGCAGTATCATATGTATTAGATATTTACACATTTAATGTATGTGACTGGAACAAAAACAACCCATTTATAACAAATTTATATATTAAATCATTCATTTTCGTTTTGGCTTTGTCCCTTTTTTAACCTGGGATCGCCACAGCAGAATGAACCGCTAACTTATTTAGTATATGTTTTACGCAGCGGATGCCCTCCAAGCTGCAACCCATCACTGGGAAACCCCTAAACATACATTTACATACATGCACTACGGACAGTTAAGCCTATACCCTATTCACCTATAAGGTGAGGTGACAGCGCTACCCACTGCGCCACTGCGCTGCCCCCTTTTGAGAATAGTTCAGTTCATTTTATGCATCTGGCAATATCCGATTTTAGAGCTTTTTTTGTTTATTTTTTGCTTTCTTTGAGCTTTTCGGCACTGCCTTTCCTTTTTTATGGTCCATCTCTGACAATTAGCTTGTGTTGCACTTACTGTTTGTTTGACATTCTTGCCAGATTTTGATTACATTCCGCGTAACCTCTGATTAGGATGGTCCATCTCGAAACCAGCCGGTCGTTGTAGATTGGGCCAATGCTTTACATTTATTATTATTATTATTCTTACTATTACCATCATCAAAAGCTGCCTACAGGTAAAAACAATACATGTAAAAAAATAAATAATAAAATAGCTGACCGGCCCACATTAAAAAAAATGGTCCGGCCTTTCTGGCATTTGCCAGAATTGCCAGATGGCCAGTCCGCCCCTGAGTTTAATACATGGCGGTGTTTCACTATTGCATGTCTCCATCTTAAAACCGATTCGAAGCTAATTCAAAGACACCTCCAAGGCCTGTAATGGGTGGATCAGGAAAAGTAGAAATTCAAAATATAACCACTGGTGTAATAAAAGCACTCACAATTTCTAACCTGTAGCTCCCCCAAGTGGACAGCATTAGTATACGCTTGCATGCATGACATGGAATGCTAGGAGGTTATTGCAGAGAGCAGTTTATGTGACATACCCCAATAAATCCTTAAGATATCCTTACTAGTGTTCAGTTGCAAACAGTAACATAGCATAACCCGAGGTGTATTGCAAATGCAAATCAAATATTTAAGCTGGGATTTCCACTCTATCCTAATTTTAGCCTAGTATCAGTTGTGTAAAAAAATAACTAAATTAAAAGGGACCTATTATGCCTATTTTCACAGGATGTAAAATAAGTCTTTTGTCAGCTCAAACACCCTACAAAAATGTTTTTTTTAACTCTTTGAAACAGCCCCTTTTAGGCTTTGAAATTATGCTGTTTTGGTGACTATCCTTTTCAGTAAATATGTCAAGATTATGACTCCTTGAAGATGAGTGCTCGAAACTCTTTCAAGATGACTCCTTTAAACTCCATATTCATTATCTTTGTCGCTGACATAATCTACAGCAGGTACAGCAAATACTCTAATGGTGCATTCACACCAGATGCGGGTGAAGCATAGAGCACGAGTGGTTTACATGTTAAGTCAATGCAAAGACGCATATAGACATTATGCATTACAATTTGCGTGAATGTCTTGGCGTCAGTTGAGCATCTTGCGCATTTCAGGCTCGAGTTGGAAAATTTGAACTTCAGTGGACCGTGTTAACCTATCAAGAGCTTTTTCTTGTAGGGGGTGTGATTGTGCCTGTTGTTGGTGTCACGAGGGGAAATCCTCTTGCTGACAGTGAACAACAGCTCATAAAACTGGGCTTGGCTCAGTTGGAAGCAGCTCTGAAAGCTTGCAAGTATGGAAGGCTGTTGGGGCCAAAATCTATGCAACAAACACGTTTACATGTTTTTACGTTCATTACAGTTTTTTCCAACTGCTTACACACAAAATCTTTTCTTGTCACACGATTTCTAAAACATCTACCTCAAAATGCAAAACTACATCTCAAATTTTCAAAACCAGATGCTATTTCTCATCCTTGAACTTTTCAATCACATTAAACACTTTTCTCAAAACACTACACACTACTCTTTACCTAAAAAACAAAATTTCAACAGTAAGCTACTTGCTTTCCTTTTCCAAACACAATCAATCAAAATGCTACATTCACAAAGTCGCAGACACAAGCTCCTCCATGTGGAAACACAATTTTTTTAACTGATCACTAACCAATCACTGCTTTAGTCTAGTATAGGCCAAAGGTGACGGGATACTAGGCTGTTTTGCACTCTCAGAAATAAAGGTACACAAGCTGTCACTGGGGTGGTACCTTTGAAAATCTTTGTACCTAAAAGGTCCATTTTAATACCTCAAGGGTACATATTAGTGCTTAAAAAGTACAAAAGTTTTCCTCTTAAATTCTTTAGGTACTAAAGTTTTTTTTCTAATTGCTTAAGCACAATTTTGTGACTTCAACACCCAGAAACCCTTGCACTCATCAACACTGATAACAACTGACAATACTCCGAAAACTTGCACAGACACAGCTGCTGCTCACTTACACTTATTACATGGACTATAAAGACACTCCATGTTCATTCATTCAGGGCTGAGTCTTGTTTATTCCATGAACACTACTACGCGTTTTTCCTGGTTTGTCTTGTGTTTATGACTATGACTCTGGATTACCTGTATACACCTGTTTACCCCTGTTTTGACCATTGCTTTGCTGAACTTTCCATTAAAACCTACATTTGGATCTGCAAGTTTGCTCCTAGTGTCTCCCACGTTACAGAAGACTGCTTCAAAATGGATCCAGTGGGTCGTCTAATCAGTTCAAAGCAAGTTATGAATTCCCTCGGACTATATAAATTTTTTTTGGCTATTGCTAATGACACAACTCTCCTGGACTGCATACTCATTGATTTCTTTTATCATGGACTAAATGAACCACGGATGACGCAGTGGTGCAGTAGGTAGTGTTGTCGCCTCACAGCAAAAAGGTCAATGGGTCGAACTTCAACTCAGTTGGCATTTCTGTGTGGAGTTTGCATGTTCTCCCACGTTCGCGTGGGTTTCCACCAGGTGTTCTGGTTTCCCCCACAGTCCAAAGACATGCAGTACAGGTGAATTGGGTTGGCTAAATTGTCTGTAGTGTATGTGTGTGTGTGTGTGTGTGTGTGTGTGCGGATGTTTTCCAGGGATGGGTTGCGGCTGGAAGGGCATCCGCTGGGTAAAAACATGCTGGATAAGTTGGCGGTTCCGCTGTGGCGACCCCGGATTAATAAAGGCACTTAGCCGACAAGCAAATGAATGAATGAAAGAAATAAACCACTGAGATCCACTAATTTTTTCATGGTCCTCGGGGGTCTTTCCAGCAAGCTGTGGACATACAGATCTGGCCTGAACTAATGCACGTTTTTTCCTGCACTGCCACTCGATTTGTCATGCGTGCCCATGCAAGCTCCTGCAGTGGCTTTTTTAATGATTTTTTTTTTAACATTGATGCGCTGCATACAATGGCAACCAGATGGCGCAGGGAACAACATTCTGGGGTGCATTTCCCAAGCTCGTTGACTAACCATGGTCGCAGTTCCGTTGTTACATGGTTCACCAATTTGCAGTGTCCCGAAACCATATTTCAATATATAAATAAGTAAGTAAATAAATAAATAAATAAATAAATAAATAAATAAATAAATAAATAAATAAAAAGACAAAAGAAAATCGAGAACATCATCGCAAACCTGTGTGGTTGGAACTACAGCTCTTATTATGTCATTATAGCATAAGACGTCACTGATTTGGCTGCAGCTGCAGGGTGTGTTTTATTATTATTATTTATTCAAATGGGAGTTCAGATACTACATAACTAATTTTAAATAATGTCCACTAATGCATAATAATAATAATAATAATAATAATAATAATAATAATAGTAATAATAATAATAATAACAATAATAAGCTAATAGTAATTACCTATATCCATAATGCTAGGATGCATGGTGCTTTGACTCGATATCTAGGTCAAAAGCAAAATTGTTACCTGTTGCATGGCATAGGCTAGCCTTTAGTGTGGAAAAATATAATTAGTTTCCCAAAACCATCCTTAGCCAACTAAGGTCCCGTCATCACTAACATTGTTGATTTGCTGTTTCCCAAAAGTTAGTTTATAATAGTTTAGTTTTTACATACAGTATAGCAAAGACGTTAGTTTTTATCAGACTAAAATTAATGCATGGATTCTGAGTTATTATTTAAAACATAAACCTGCATTTTAATGACGGATGTGGGTGTCACAAAATA